ACTGGTAAATAAATGAAATGTCATAGAGTTTTAAAATATAAAATATACAAATGCATTGTGTTACTGGGTTATTATAATTCTATAGTTGACTAATAGGCCTTATTGAATATAGGCCTATCATTGCCTATATTTTATTTTAAAAATAATTACATTTTTACCTGTGTGCCAAAATGCCAAAGGCATTCTCTACAACCCGGCGAGCACGGGACAATCTATAGTTAAATATTCGCTGTTGCCTAGTCATCTGTCGATGTGGGTACGGCTTCATCAGCCAGGAACGCATTGGAAATGTGTCATCGGCTACTATGCTGTACGGCACAGGCTGATCATCGTTTGGTAGCGGTGCTGGCTCTGGTAGCCCCAATTTGCCCTTCTCCAATGCATCACGCAAAGTACAGTCTTGGAAAACTCCGCCATCTGAACACCGGCCATTGGCGCCAATGTCTACATAAAGAAACCTTGAGTCTGCGTCAACTAATGCCATTAATATAATGGAATGGAATCCCTTATAATTGTAATACTTGGAACCGCCATTTCGAGGACATTTGATGGCGATGTGTTTACCATCTAGTGCTCCTATTGTGTTTTCGAAGTTCCATCGTTTGGAATAGGCCTGGCTAACCAGTTTCCATTCTTCTGGAGTACTTGGGCACTTCATGTACTCCCCCACGTACTCAGCGAAAATAGCCTCGCATGTTTCCGGCACCAGTTTAGATATTGAGTTATTTGCCACCCGGAATCCGTATTCCAGACTCTTGTAAGAGTCCCCAGTGGCAAGGTATCGCAGGGTGATGGCCAGTCGCAATCCCGGATCAAGTGACTTTCTCATTCTGGTATCCTGCTTTCGGATCCTTGGACTAACACGAACCAACATTTGCTGAAAAAGTTCAGGATCAATTCGCTGAAAGTTACTAAATCAAGTGTGGTCCTCCATTTCCATTTCCAACATTAAAGGTTCATGCAAAGACCTGTGCATTAACCAGGGTCTAGTCCAAAAACGCCTTTCTCTTTCCTTCATCCTTCCCATACGTTGGCTCCTAGCAACTAAAACAGCCGCAATGGCAGCATTTATAAGTAGTTCTTATTCTAGGAGCACCAAAATATTTCTGTTGGCTTCCATGTTTTATGCGAATTTGCAAAACAGAACGTCAATTCTAATAGCTTGGAATGCCCTTACCTAATATCTAATTCGGTACAACTCCTAACGCTCATAATAATCTCGTAAGCTCCTAGTGAACTCGGTGTTTCGCTCGGCATAATTCTTACATAACTCGTAGCCAACTCCGTAAGGTCGTACATCATTCGTAGCTAACACGTAGTAAGCCCGTATGGAGATCACTAGTTTCACGAGTTTTTAACTCGTGCGACTCCTGGATAAAATCGACCTAGGTGGGAGAGGGGCTTAATACATTGTTGACTTTTTAGTTCTTTCTAGGACAAGTCTAGGCATGACATTTTGTTTTGTAATCTTGCTTTTGGAAGACTGTTCATTTGGGTACCCGTTCATTTGGAAATTAGACAGAAACCACCCCTGGACAATAACCACCCTGACAAAAACCACCCAGAATGGGTATATATATTTTATATATTTTTATTACTATTATATTTATAATTGTAATCATAAAGATAGTGATAAAGCCAAAAAAAAATTGTGTTGTCTAAGCAACGAAACATTAAAGCTCTTCCACACTATCAAAGTTTATGACAAATAACTGTAATATGCCCATATTTATGTGTGTAAATATGCCCATATATGGGCACATCACACAAAATTGTCACATAAAATTTGATAGTGTGGGCAGACCTTTAGAAATTG